ATAGATAGATAGATAGATAGATAGATAGATAGATAGATAGATAGATAGATAGATAGATAGATAGATTTTGCGGTATTTTCCTTTCAACCAAGTGGTCACCAACTGACCACTTTTTCCCCTGCTCACTTATAGAATTGCGCTCTTTGTTTCTTCCCAAAATGTTTTTTTGTTTCTGTTTTCTTTTCAGTTGCATGAAATATTTAACTTCAACTGTGTCACTTACATGAAGTTTATATTTTAAGGCACGATTTGGTGGTTGTACGGGTATTAGTCTGCTAGTATATATAAAGTTGTTCAGCCGAATTAGTTCGTACTCGCATAACTAGAGAAAAACTAAAGATATTTTCAGAATCATCACGTCTGGGAGGTGGTTCTGGCTGAAACAAAATTGTAAAAAAGTTAAAGTTTTAAATTTATAAAAATTCTATTCATCAACAGATGGCGGTGCATACAGATTAACATCACGTAAGTGTGAAGCCATGGTGTATACCCTTAACAGCGCAGTGGCCTAATCACTACAACATCCGTCTCCTACACCGAGATTCCGGGTTCGATTCCCAGCTGGGGAACTTATTTTCCCCTTTTTTCCTTTTTTCCTTTTTTCCTACTCCTTTAGTATGTACTTCTGCAACTTCTGCCACTTCAAAATTTAAAAATTAATAAAGGCCCAAGGACAGACATTCAAAGCGATTGGTCTCGACCTCTCTGTCCCGTGCTTCTCCCACGGACAGCTGTATGTGGCTGCCTCTCGCACCGGCAGCGAACTGCATCTCAGCATCCTCGCACCAAACAGTCAGACGCGCAACGTCGTCTACCCTGAAGCCCTGCAGCACTGATACCAAACACCGGCAACAAATGTCAAATATATATGTAACCCTCTTTAATTCCCATTTTGCCCTGGGCAACGCCGGGTATCCAGCTAGTACGTAATGTTCGAGGAGTGCAGGAGGGCAGAGACTATACACACTACAGCGACATCCATCAAAATGCGTAATAGCGAGGCGTGTGCATCTACTCAAGATTTTCACTGACATGCAAAGGTCAATTCAGGGTGCCCCCTCTACTTCTGGTGCGCCCGCTGCTGGTTCTTACGCCTAGCTCAAACAAATAATTTATAACTGAAATACAACGCTAAACTGCTTGTCAGAAGAACGCAAGTGGAATGACGTCAATGACTGCGGTGAAGTAATTGCACCCAGCCTAGTGTCTGAGTGAATTAGCTTCCAGCTCGTTGCTACATACTGCTATATACTGTTGCTCCGTGCAAAAATCAATGTGTTCGGCTCGGGATATGCAATGTAAAGGTAGAAGATGTCGATACCTGCAATCTGTATGTTCGTAATTCCACACGTGTAGGTGCAAACGCTGGTAACACGGAATTATCGCCAATACATGCACACGAGGCCATAATAACAATATTGTTTGTTTGCCCCCCCCCCCCTGCCGCAACGGCTACAAGCCGACTGAATTTGTCAGTCGGCGAGTCGCACATGTTCTACTTTTGTGATGCGACGGCGGCTAGTTCCACCGGTCGCAAGCCATTATTTTCATGGTTACTACCCGACATAAGCTGCCTTACGTTGCTGTGACGAGATTATATTGTGCATAATGAACAATGCACGCGAATAATAACATATCAGTGCATACAGTCTAGTACACAACAATGCGCACAGGCAACAAGTCATGTATAACCATCTTTAGTTTGACCTAAGCGCCTTCTGTGATTGCCTGTAACTGGTCGGCAGGCAGTCGCTGTCAGTCGAGTCGGCCGTCGACCTAAGCAACTCAGTTGCAGTGGCGTCGCATCGCGTCGCTTCAATCGTAACCCGACCTAACACCGGCTTAACGTTTGCATCAATTATTAAACCACTCGGCACAAGTAATAAAATTCGTTGTTTGCCTTCAAGCCGCCCGACCGTCCCCAGCGCCGCAAAA